GATATAAAAGTTTTCATTCTGCAACCATGATGTGTGTCAGATTATCCACCTGGCTGTCGGTCTGTATCAGCCCTTTACATTTACACTGACAGTTTCAAGAATAAAGACACAGCGTTTAAACACATCCCCCCCTGAACAGACATTCTTTGCCAGATGTGCAACAGATAATGTCAGTCTAGTATTCCAAATCTACACCTCTGACATTAATAAGTATTTACTTCAGAAAAGACATTGAAGAATTTAAATCAGCTCTGACGTGAAGTGTAACTTGCTTGGCCAAACTTTCTTTTAATCAGAGCTGGGAGAATACCCACCAATAATTGTAGGAAAACTGCTGAAAAGGACACATCTATAAACTCAATATTAAGGATATGAAGTTCAGATTGAGTTTTAGTAGAAAACATGCAAAAAAAATGCAAATGCAGAATTAAATACAGATATGTACAAAGCAGAGGAAGAGGCCATTTGAGCAATCATGAAGAGACATAAATTGGCTACTCAGAATACTCTGCCCCATTTTATCAGGAATCTCCAGTATTGTCCATAGGGAGTTAACTTTTAGACTGTTTACTGGCTCAAAGGCCAGGCATGCATCTAAGGGCCACATAGGCAAGATAATGTATCCCAGGCTACAGAAGCAAGCAAATCACTGTGCATTAAGACTGGACACACAATAGACAACAATGCCTTGCATAAACACTATTTAGAACTATTCACATGGCATTGAAGAGATGGGCGTCGACTCACTATTGCAGCAAAGCCGGCGTATTGTGCAGAGGTGAAAAGAAGTCTAATGAACAGGAAGCCTTATTTGAGAGAGCTGACAGTAACCATACAACAGCCGCATTGTGCGCTTGCCACCAACCCTGTGGGTCTCTACATTAGGAGAAATGATGAGAAAGTAACCCGAAAAGACACAGTAGGCCCTTGGACCCACGTAAATGCAACCAGACAATAATGGGGGACACAAGCTGTCCCCACCTTTACCCAAAGCTGCACGTTTACATGCACAGACATCAACTGCTCTCATGGCCAAGGATAAAAGCCCCCTAGCCAGATGAAACTTTGAAGTACATTTGGATAACTCTACCACCAAAGACTGCAATTTTACTGCAGCAGCAGTTAAAATATATGTCATACATTTTAAATGAAATCAAATTCTGCAGGGGGAAAGTTGGAAACTCTGGAGTTTGCCGCACAAGGACCCTGCAAACACACACAAATACACACACCCACACAGACACACACACAAACTTTCACATTATACCCCCTGCCTCAAGCTTCATCAATCTTCAACAAAGGAATGACATCACCAATAAGCATAGCCTTTTATAGCTTTAAGCAATAAGCCTTATTTACTGATGAGATAAGCCTTTGGCCATTGTCTACCCTCCACTTTGCTTCTTTCTCTCGCAGTTGAAGAATCAAACGGCACTTTTGGAAGGTGGCAGAGCATGTCCAGGATTTAAGGCTGAAGCTTGCAAAGAGATTTCCTATTTGGTGGTTTTTCAATGGGCCACATTAGCTAGTGTAGGTTCAAAGTAGAAAGTGCGGGTAAAATAAAATGAAATGCAACCTTCTAAAAAACACAATATTTCATAACAGCAACTATTTATATAAGTGGACTAGCGCTAGTTTCTGAGCAAATCTAACGGAAAAAAATTGGAAATGGGATTCAGAATCACTGCATTTGAAAGAAACCACAACCCGGATAATTTGCAAAATATAGTCATCCATTACATGTGTGGCCTATAATTATTGTTTGCAACTGTGTTACTCAGCCGGTCCAGAAAGCTAAGCCAGGGTGGTCAGTAAACTGCTGAGGCACCATGATACAGTGCGCTTCATTATCTCTCATGTGTGTATGCTGACAGGAACTTACTGCAGCTTGTTTGTTTGTGATGCCATAGAGACATTTCTTGCTGTCAGTCATGTGTTAAGTTCAAAACTGACAAGTGGTAGCTCTCTTTTTCTCCACTTCCACAAAGTCTGACAGGAAAACTTGGTCTAACTAGGTTGTTGTGACGATATAGAAAATATAGTATCAACATATTCTGAATTGAGTGCCTATTTTTAACAAGATAAAAGCCAATTTCTAACACACTGCATCCAGTATCACCGGATATATCCTAAAATGTTCTATTTGTTGTTTGTTTTTCTGAGCGCTACACAGAGTCATGTCAGGCCTTGGGAACTTGTCAGATATTCAGTTTGTAGTCACTTTAGAAAGGCTGAGCACAGAGTCTCGAGGGAATCGCTCTAGTCTCCCCATCTCTAACTCCCCCCACCCCCACCCCCCACCTCTCCCCCACCCCCATGTCACCATCCAGGAACAAAGCCGCCATAGTCAATTCTCCTAATTTCACTGCAGCCTGTCGAAATCCCGTTCTCCCTTTCTCCTGCTCTTCAACAAGCACTTTATGTTGGGATCAGTCAGGTCTGAGTCGCCCACAAAAACCTGAGGCTCTTGCTTCATCGTCTTTCAGCACCCGGTTTGACACTTCCCAGCTCCCTGCCATTCAGACGCCTTCCCCGTGCAATTTGTTTCCATTTGTCAAACAGCAGTATCCATCACAAAAGAAAACGCTGGCACAACAGAAAGTTTGCAAAAAACATTGTCTACAAAACCCAAAATGCCCCTCAGACTACCTACTTCTTGTCCCATGACAAAACAGCCTTAAACAATTTACAGCACTTCCAGTTGTTATGGACACTTTCTACATTATTTTTGACAAAACTGACAATGAAACATCTTTGAATGAATACAGCAGGTATCGCACCCTGGAATCAGCACCAACTGATCATTTCCCTCTTAAAGTGTGGATGCTACAGTATTAATTCATCATTTTATTCACTGCCTCCACATTGTGCTTACTCTTTTTTTGTGCTTTATATCTTTTGGATTAAATTTCATTGTGTGGACAACCAGGTTTCTCACACATTTGTTTATTAAAGCTATATCAGCACTATGTTGACAGGATTGCTATTTGCAAACCTATTCTTAAAATGGTGCCATTAATGGGGAACGTACGAAGGTATCTGCTTAATAATACTTATTGTACAAACTTTGTTGTCACCATTCTTGTGCTGGCTGTTATCAAGGGGCGAGCAGAGAGGATATGTGCTGACTCTGATGTAGATAGGACCATGAGGATTTCTATTGTGGCAGCTGCTGTGTGGCGAAGTCCCCGATAGGGTTTGGAAAGCTGTCAATGCTGTGTCAGGTGCATTAGCACCTCAGAGACCTATGATGCTCCAGCTGCAGTGAGCCGATGTCTCCCCGGGCCCTGGCCACCAGCCTGACACCCGACACAAAGTAATCACAGATCACAGCATTTAATCACTGAAACAAGCACTCCAGAGGACCCCACTGTCAATATCCCACTCTCTCATTATCTGTTTGGATTGTACATCCACACTGTCAGATAAACAGAGTGGAAAATTAAGATTAAAAATATGGTAATTTCATTTCAGGCAGCAGGCTCCTCTCACTGCCCCATTATGCTATTGATTACCTCTGAATTCAATTTTTCTTTTCAATGTAAACTTTAATCTATTCGCAAGCCAACAATCCAGCTCCCAGGGGGCTATTTGAGAGTAAGTAACCATTTAATATGACTCCAGCTGAAGATTCATTGGCCTTAATGAATTGTGTAAATCACTCAGCGTTTAAAGGGGCTGATGTCCCGCAGTTCACGACCCAAATTTGGTCCTGGTTAAATACGACCTTTTAAAACAAGCTAAGTGTTTACTGACAAGAATCTGAATATGTAATCACCCGCTCTGCTCGTTTCTGTGTGGAGCCAGATTGAAACAGCTTTGTTATAATGGAGCCTGCCGTAAAAATGTTTAAATAATAGACCGGATGGCTTCACTGCTTTCCCACTGAGACACATTTAAGGAGAAAAAAAAAACTTGACTCAACACAATAATCACTAGGTTGTTTTCTTTAACCACTTACCAATTTGTAGCATCATGTTCAAGACCAGTTGTAACCACGGACGGGAGGCAAACATACCATTCAGGCAAGTGATTCCAGCATGAGCAAAACCTGGAGGATATGTTAAGTGACCTAAGCGGATCACAGAGCAATATAAAAGTAAAGCAATACCATTTTACAGCATCTACTTTGAATTTAATCATCAGGACATTACAAGTGAACATTTAGAATCAATCATTTATGACCTAACAAAGTGCAAACCTCTTCAGATACTGCCTTCAATAACAGGACATCTTCGTTCAAGCTGCTTATCATCACAGTGGTTAAAGTAAAAGTTATACAGTTTTAAAAGAAAGACAGTAAAAACACCAACATTTTAACGACAGAAAGTAATGTTCCACTGGAGAAAGCTCTTTGGAGCATTGCGGGTCTGTCCCACGTCCTGCCGCGTTAATCTGAATCACTGCCAAACATGGCTGTTTTTCCTGTCCAGAGCTGAGGTAGACATTCTGTAAAAGCACTACAATCAAAGTGCAGGAAAACTGTTCGGTTAAAACAGTGCAATTACTAAGTAACAATATTCTGATGAAGGCACAATAATTGCTGCAAACATCGGTGCCCTCTCTGGGTCTCCTCGTCTTACCATATCACCAAAAGATCTATGCCTATGTAAATGTTTGTCTAACTCTAAATAAATAGAGCCATTTGTGCCACCAAGAATTTATTGCACTGCAATGAACACATCTAATATGTGCCGTCCTTTAAGCATCAGTGCAGAATTGAAGATACCCAAAAGGCCAGAAAGAGGAGTCATAAACATATCTGTGAGTAATCAATAAAGAGCCATGCAGTAATACACAGTCAGTAAAAGGCACAGCTTGCTTCAGATATTTGATTATTTTCTCTTTCAGGCCAAATCAAATGCAGCTCATATTAACCCTACGTCGCCTTCTGGGAGTGAGGGGACATTTTAGTGCACCTCAAGGAATCTTAGTGTATCTGAGAGAAGATTTGGTCTCTGGTGGCTAACAGGAACGGACCGCGGAGCCTCTCCAAACCGTCAAAGCGACGTCTCAAAGATGACACAGACATCCTCGGCACAGCAGGCGTCAGTCACTCGCTTTTTGTTCATGTGAACCTGAAAGAGGATCAGGGAAGCAGTGTCACATCACAGAATCCAAACGCACTGTCCAATCTGAGCTACGATCTGTTAAGGTGTGATTTATGACGGATCCAGTCAGAGCGCGGCGAAGGGATTTACCATCCACCCGAGCATGCAAAAGTGGTTTACTGTATTTACCCTAATAAACAACTGTGAAATTTGAGGGAGAACATTTTGGAGATAATCAGGGGATATATTTGTGCAGTTAATTTTCTCTAGCCGTGGCTTCTGGGCTGCAAAAACTGGATTTCAAAGTATTTACCATTTTCTATGACATCTTTGTACAAATAAACACTGGAAAACAATTTCTGTAAATAAAAGTTTGTGGAAAGGAGGCAAAAAGCTTGAGATGTACTGGCTGCTTCAGGATTCTCTTTCAATGAGGACAAAAGGGCTTGAGGTTGATATCAGATTATTGAATGTGTTTAAACCTTGACTGACAACTATAGAAACTTGACACACAACATGTGGACCATCTCAGTATTTAATAAGTGGCGCTAGACAGTTTTGGATGCTGAAGTAATCTGATCTAAGGAGAGCACATTACAATAAAGAAAAGAAAACGTAAGGGCTCGAACAATGTGACTACCAATCCTCCAGTGTGCAGGGTAAGATGATACCAAATAATACCACAGTGTGCTGAGTCTTTGAAATCAGTATTTTACTCATTTCACTTCTCAGGCTGGGAAGATACAGTTCCACTGATAAATTTGTGCGAGGGACAGAGAGAAAATGAAATGATGCCTACTTTTTCTTATTTCACAAAGACCTGTTTGAAGTTGCAATATGGTATCTGTGGTCCCAGACAGATGCACATAAAATGGAATTGAACAATGAATAGCCCACTCTTATCTGTTCAGTGTCTGAAGGGGAAATACATCACAAATGAATTTCACAGGGGGGAGAAAAAATATGGACATTCTCCATTACAGTAATCCCCATAGAAAGTTTATCCCAAATCACGATGAAGTTAAACCCAATATTTCAAAAATAGATACAGTGCAATGAAAGCTGCTTTTCTAGAATCATCGTTAAAATGATCTCAAAATTACATTCTAAGAAAAAAAGATTATAAGGAGAGTTTCTGTGATAATATCAGTGGATGTAAATCTACAAAGGGACAATTTCTCTCTTGAAATGAATGTTATGGGGCTGCAATGCTCCAAGTGGGCTTTAAATTAAAATGGTAATCAAGTGTCTTTGCATTGTCAGGGTTATGCATATCTTCTCTTGCTTTGCTGTATTATTTTGGAGGTGAGCAGTGAAGTCTGGAGTTAAACAGAGAGCCGGGGATTGGTGTGCCACGAATGGTCTCTTATTTAGTGACAGACCTGTCCCGGGACAAAGGTGGATCAGGCTACCTGTTTGGCTGTGTGCAGCAGTGACGCAGCCTCTGCTCTGCCTGTCTGTTGGACCATCTGGTAGAAGAGCCCGTCCTGGTTCTGGAGCAGCACATAAGGCTCATCATACTCCTGGATCCTTCCAGCATCCAGAACCTGCAATCACACGTGCAGTATAAACAGCGGGTGGGTGTGTGAGCCTCCGGCCGTATACTTTGCTTTGGGGAAAACTGACATTTCAGCTGTTTCATTGCTGAGTGAGCCATGCAGACAGTGCACGTTGAATGGGGGAAACAGTAGTTGGGTGCACATAGGAACTATCCATTTTACGTGACTCATGCATCAGCAAACACTGGTGTCCATTTCTGAGCACAGGGGCCAGTGACAATAAGAGTAACCCGTTAGCACTGTGAAAGTCGCTACGCTGACTCTGACAGACAAGAGATCAGTGATTTATCCGTGTATTTACCCAGGCATCGGGGAAGCCAAGGGGTGGTCCTCAGCCAAATCCAACAATCACACCTTTAAGACGTGCTCGTAAATTACCATCATTTTTGTGTCATCACATGCTTTGCAAACCACACAAAGAATACTGCCAGTTCAAGCAGTTTGGAAAAGACTACAATTATATCATAGACAAATTTTCACAAGCCCAGTCCCCTCACAGTGATAATGAGCAGTTTGCTATCAGCAAAGCTTAGTTTCAAGGAGTGTTTAGAATGAAAGACAGACTTCTGCACCTGCTGGCACATAAAAGTTTGGGGGCAGGCTGGCAGGAAACAGAGTTTCTATCCTTCAAAATGGACAGATCCCTATTTAGTTCTCCCTGAGTGAATGGGTCAGTGTAGGTGTGAAACGGTCCCCACTGTGTGATACTTGGCTTTTCCCAGCAACCCTCTCAGTGCGCAAGTAGCCACAAGGTCACGCCCCGTCTTCCATAGAGGATTAACAAATGCTTCCACAAATGGCACTAATTGGCACCTCTGCAGGCAGTAGCAAAGAAAGGCCAAAGATCAAGTGGCACAGGCATAGATTCACCCAAAGAGTATGCTGTGAAGGAGAAATCAGCCCAGCTGTTGCAAAATAAGTTAATTTGATCTGCAAATTGTGATGTGTGGCACTGATTATAATGGAGAGAGGTGTCTGTAAGCTGTGGATCCCAGGTGAGTTTCACAAACAATAACACAACTCAACATGAGGCGTATCCGTGGGCCTGCAACTTTAAATTCTACCCTAAGTCTGAAAACAATGACAAGTCCACTGAGTTCAGGCTGCAGATAAGACAGTTCTTCCTTCTTTTAATACCTGACTTCTCTGTCATGAACTTGTACAAGGACAGGGATCCTGCTTCAAAATAGTGAGTGGAGCGCCAGACAATGGAAATTTACTGCATCCTGACATACCAGTATTCTGTCACAGTCAATGATGGTGTTGAGCCTGTGAGCGATCGTGAGGACTGTGCACTCTTGAAACTTGTCCCGGATAGTCTGCTGGATGAGGCTGTCAGTTCTAAAGGGGCAGGGAACACAACACCTGAGAAGATTTTTTAAAAAAAGCTCTCCTCCTGCAGAGCCTTGGGCAGGGATTTTACGCTGGCCAGAACAATGGCTCATCAGCAGCAAAATATGTGCAGTGGGAGATAGAGAATCTAAAGGCCACGAGTCATCCAAACATGACTTTAGTGTATATCCCTTTCTTGTTTACATTTCAGGCTAATATTGCATCATTTAGCAACATTAAGAACAAATGGTAAGATAATTAAGCAGACATGTCAACACCTACTATAACCTGACTCCTTTAATAATTCAAATGCAAGATTTTAGAAAAGTCCCTCTTTAAACACAAGGAAGTTTTTTAAATAAACCTGTGGTATCTGAGGGGTTTTATGGGTTTTAATTCAACCATAATTCAAACTAAACCTTTGAATATATGCTAACTATTTTATCTTTGACGTGTACCCTGACCTCAGGTCCACATTGGCAGTGGCTTCATCGATAATGAGAATGCGGTTTTTCCGGAGGATGGCCCTGGCCAGACACACCAGCTGCCTCTGGCCCATGCTGAAGTTCGAGCCTGACTCAGTCAGCACCGTTTCTAGTTTACTGGGTAGGTCCTCCACTGCGGCCTTCATCTGCACCTGCAGAGAGAGAGAACACAGCCCCAACCCTTCATTACTCCAGCATAAAGCCACCCTGTTGAGATGTCTTTAAAGAGCCATCCAAACACACCCATTAACTGGCTGGCACAATGGAGAGCCAGGTCCACTGATGACCTTGGCCAGTGCTCTCTTGTGGCCAGCCTCTAGCTTTAATCCAGGCCACCAAACCCATTCAGAAGCAGGACCAGGAGCTGAAGCCCTTCGCTGTGGGGGGAGCCATCATCCCGGTTGCCCTGACTGCCCAAACACATCTTCCCCAGCACTTTCAATGGCTCCCCGTTACAAGCTGCACATTGAGCTGGGCCCCATGGCCCTAATGGGATTTCCCCCCATGACTTGTGGTGAGCAGGGAGGCTGAATGGCAGCATTGTACAGGGGGACAGAGGGATCCCCCCCTGGGCTGGCGAGGGGGAATCATTCAGAGCCACGCTGGAGTACCTCTTGGAGTGCATTCCACAGGTCCTCATCTGTGTGCTGCCTGAAAGGGTCCAGATTCTTCCTCATGGTCCCCGTGAAGAGAACTGGGTCCTGTGGATAGATGGATATAGAAAGAGAAGGCCGTAGCCAGTTAAGATAATGACAAGGGAGACGATGCATAAAAGGGTTAAAGCAGGATTTATAGTAGACTGCTAGGCAATGCGTATGGAGAAGATGTTCACAAAGGCCTTGCTCCTCTCAGGAGCTCTATTGAAGGCTCTCACCAGCTATGCTTCAATACATTGATCTTTTTACTCTTTTTAAAGTTTGAGCACTGGTGCTGTGGACAATAGTTCTGCAAAACGTTCTGTATATACATACTGTACGTATAGACACACCCACAAACACACTCACACACATACACACACGCACTAACACACGTGTACGTATATAGGTACAGATATACAGACATTATGAGAAAGGTAGCAGCACTGGAAACAATATTTAATCCATTTGCTGTCATTAGCTGCAATTATATCGACTGACTGCAGATACAAAAGGCCAACCACATATTTCAGACACAGGATGTGCAACACATATATTTATGGTAAGCCAAGGCCCTGAAAGAAGGTTCACCCGCACAGTCGTCTTGAGTACAGTAAATATAGCTCTATTACACTGTGAAGTTGAAAGACTTTACAGTGGTAAACCTGATAAATAGATTAAATACGGCATTGGGTCAGACGTGTATTCAAAATACTCATTCTAATTTTGAAATGGTCTCCACGAAACAGGAAGGACCCTTTTACCCTTTGTGGTATACAAGCTCCAGATGTTCGATAAGGCTTTCATACAGCATTGTTTCTGCATTCTTTCGTCATTGATAAGTCACAGCATGGGTATTCTCAAGACATTAGAATGTGCTTTCTGACAGTTCAATGAGATGTGATTCATTATTTTAAAGAAACAGAATGTGTTGAGCAGCAGCTATCCATACCCAAAACAGATGCCTCCACAGTATCTTTATCACATCTGGGGCAATGTGATGAGGCAGTTTTACTCATGATATATTTGTGCTTGATAATTTTGTACTGGATATTGAGAGCATTGTGTTACATAAAAAAATGCTGGCAGGATATCACAGGCCAAGTTTCATAGGATAGATAGCATCAGTTTGTTTCTTTTCCTTCTAAAGAGATTGTGACTGTAAAGGCCCCTTTAAGATTATTTTATTAATTAATATATTTCAGTGTATAACAACATCTTTCTGATTAATTTGAATAAAATAAATCAACTGGTGTGTTTCAATACATTTGTGGCTCACAAAAGCCCAAAAAAGAATGGTGATGTTGCAAATTGTGTGTAAAATTGTCAAGTCATTCAAGCACATTGACATGTAACACTAATGAATTAATATCTTTTTTTTTTAAAATATAATAATTACCAAGATATTCTGCAGATTAACACATTTATTTTATCACTCATCATAGTCAAGAACCTGAGGCCACTTTAATCTCGCAGTGGAAAAAAAGCAAACAAGAGATCCTCCACACAATCAACCTCAGAGTGATCAAACACTTTTTTATGTTAATCTTAAACTTTTCTGGAGGGCTAGATGAGCACCTATGATGTCACCATAAAGTGGGGTGTTTCTGGTAGGGAGATTTCAGGGAGGTTCAATCTCTGATGGGTTGTATAAACTTATATTTGTATTCTTTCACTGGAAAAGGGGAAACGTTGAACAATTAAGGTTCCTCAAAATTGTATCAAAGTCGACCCATTGTCATCGGTTTTGCCTTCATCCAGAAAGGTAAGACATTACAATGATTTTGACAACCGTGCCAGCTTCTGGTCCCCATACAGGAAAAGCCTTTGTTAGAGTAGTCATTTAAGTCTTTTTGAGAAAAGAGCTGATGGGCTACTCAGTGATAAATGGACATAATTTAGCGTTACCTTAAATCTATGTAATTACTGTTTTTGTCAAACTAAATGTGTCACACATTAAAATGGCTGATGTTCCAATCCAATATTGGTTATCTCTTTACAGCCTCATTACTTGGTTGTGATCACTGCTGGTCACTGGAGCTTGGATTGTGTGCACTTGTGTCTCATGTAACTGAGTCAGCTTGCGGATGTGTGTGTGGGTGTGTGTTTGGTGGGACAACTAATATGTAGAATTAGGCATTTCACTGCCTTTCCTTCCCACTCTACCATGGTCAGCTTTGAGGGGACTGCTGTAAGACTGCATGCTGTTCTTTATAATTCCAGGTTTTGGTTCGGTCCAGTCACAGTTCGCCCCTGGTGATTGTCGTTGGACTGAAAACTTTATAACACAAATCTGCATGCACAAGGAAATGTCTCTGGTTGTTCCTTATCCACCCACACAAACAAAATCAGCTATAACTTCAATGCACCCAGAAAAAGGTCATTTAATGATTCCCATACTGTCGCCCCACAGCTGTTGGGTCAAAGCTGCTATGAATGATGCGCTGTAGGTTTTTTTTAACCAATGTGCTGTGCTGACTTTGCCATGCTACATGTTAAGTTGGTGGAGCTCTGTGGAGTGGATGAAAAGTTACAGCCCAGCTCCATTCTGAAAGCTTGGATTCCAGTTTGTTTGAGCTCCTGCAGCATCTTCAGTTTTTTTCTCCTCCACATACAATGCCTGAGCTGGTATTTGGGTCCCCTGTTTATCCACACAGTGTGAAAGTGTCTGGCATTAAGTTGCAGAGTTACACTGTCCAACTCTACCTCTGCTTTCGTCAGGTCAGATTGAAAGCCTGTTTTTTAAAAGCAAAACAGAAAACACAGCCTGCATTCTCGACGAAGCTCACATTCATAGTGTTAGCATACCACGTATTCAAGAATCACGTTTTAACAAATCCCCCTCCTGAGGATCCAAAGACTGAGGATGAACAGCTCAGTTTCCATCCAGAATAATAAAGCTTCAGAACCTTATCCGTGCTACCTGTGCCCCAGCTAAATGTTCCACCTCTTCACTTCCAATGAGCTTTTCCCTCTGTCACCAAAATACAACCTTGTCATTAATCCAACTGAGGTCCCATTTTAAACCAGTTCTGTGACACACTTTAATTGAGGATTCAGTGTTAGGTTGGAAAAACTGCTTTCAAGCACAGCTTTCCATACACCGATTATGTGCTCCACCAATTCTAAGCCCTCTGTTTGTTATAGAATTCATTTTACACTATGTATTCCTAGAGAATTCAATACAGACTGAAATAGATCCTTTATAATGCCACAAGCTAATATGAGCTTATCATAATCAAATCTCTGGTTGGCAAATAATACAACTTCTCACTGGCAATGTATACTGACACACCATTCTTAAAAATTCTATGTCAAATTTACAGCAAAGAATAATCAAGATTTCTCTTCAGGTGAAAGGATGACCGGATATCATTTCATCTCTGTCTTCGAGGAGAATAACGAAGCTTTCAGATTTATTTCTGTAAATCCAAGAGACTTCTCAGCATATCTATAAAGTTAAATAACTAAGAATACAGCACAGAAAAACTCCACTTCTCTGAGTTCTGCCTACATAATGAAAGTGCCACAAAGATGGATGTGGAGTTAAAGTTCTGAGTCGTAACGTGCCACTTTTATCAGGTCTTTCCCTCTAGGAGAGGCAGAAAGAGTAAACAAAATCACATCAAACACAGATCACATCCATCACTAACTAGTTTAGACGAGAAAGTAAAACTTTATCAAGAGAAGCAGCAATGCCAGAAACCTATCAAATCAGAGAAGCATTAATGAAACTGTTTATGGGCATCTTGGCTGCCGTCTAGAAATGTTTGAGACTTGGGCTCAGAGAAGGTGTACACGGGGAGTCTGACTGTGAGGATGGGGGAGACTTCTTCTAAGCAGCTTTCCCATGTTTGGGGGGTAGAGGGCTAATCCTCTGTCAGGGATGGGGAACTGCTCTCTTCACAGTACTGGCCGTGGGAGTCTTTTCCCCTCCCTCCTCTCTGCTGACACTCACCCGCAGGCTGGCATTTTCTTAATGCCATATCAGTTTCAACAAGCGGAAATAAAGTTAAACTGTCTCAAGGCATCCGTTTGTCTCACTTTCAGAAATCCCCAGAGTGATGACTGTAATTCTCCTCACTTGTTTTAGCATTTGTTTGTTTTTTTCAAGTTAAGCATATTAAAAGGGGGGGAGATGTTACCATCATTCATCTGACTTTTTCCCTCATTTCTCAATCGTTAAGTATCTCAGAACCTTTAAGAATCTGACAAAACAAATCGGATTTTGAAAAGGACAAGTAGTTTATTGCGCTTGGTGGCCATAATGACATATAATGTCTCTAGTCGGAACAAAATCCAATCAAAATGTCATGTTTATGAATGATCCTTTAAAGTGGGGGGGGTACCTGAGGGATGATCGACATGTTCTGGCGCAGCGTGTGCAGACCAATCTCAGAAGACAGAAAGCCATCAATCAATATTCTTCCCTCAGGTTCTGCCAGCCGGAACAAGGCAGAGATCAGGGAGCTTTTGCCAGCACCAGTTCGCCCAACAATGCCAACCTAGGGTGAAGAGAGCATTTGTTATATCAGCAAAATTTCAACAAGTCAACAAAATTCAATAATTAGAAAAAGCACTTTTTAAAAAAGAAAAAAAAAGAAAAAGCACTTCATATGAGGAAATGTTCAAATTAAAACAAGCTAGCTATGGGCTGTCAGTTAACAACCAAACGCTGAGGTCAGGTCAAGACATCTGCTGGCTTGTTCCCCACCGTTTACCGTTTTCAAACACATCTTTAGAAATGTGATTCTCTACTCTAGCTGCTTCCACGGACTGATGTTGCCATCACCACATGGGGGAAAAAATGTAGTTCTCTCTTTATCTGTGAGCTGCAATGTGGACTGTTGACTAAATTCTTAATTTTTTTTCAATTCAAGCTAGCATGAGTGGACACCATAAAGGATGGAGAAGATTTTTAAGAACTACTGACTGAAGCAGGATGTGCCAGGGTTCAGTTGAGGGTAAAGTTAAAAATAGGCCAAGTTACCTATGTCATTTTATCATATTTGTATACAACCTTGAATTAGGAGCTAAATAACCTTTTCTTAATTGTCAACTGAGGAAAAAAATGTATTAGTCCAAAACATTATAAAAAGTGGAAAACTTTAAAGGCTTATAGGCTAATTGTAGTGAATAAAATACAAGAGTGAGGACTGTCTCTTCACCTGATTGTCCAATTCTTGGATAAAAGTAAAAAAGCCTTTAAAAAAACACTGCAGTAGTACTGAGATTAGTAATTTACCTTTTAAAATAAAATTCAATATATTGCCAGTTAGTATTGCTGCTAGGTGAAGGTAAAATTATGTCAAAGGAAAATCCAGGATGAACGCTGCTTTTTACCCCCCATGGCATGTGGCACAGATCCCTCCCATGGGCTGTCAGAGCCTGGGCCTCTAAACTTATCAGCCCATCCATTGTGAAATCAGCCGCTCTGGCCAACCATAACCATGCAAAATACACCCCCTGCATTAAACACAATTTAAATCATCCTCAACCATCTCCATCTGCCTCCGTCT